CGCACAGTGCAATATGCCCATTCGCATCGAGCAAAATGTTTTCCGGCTTGAGGTCGCGGTACACAATGTCGTTGTTGTGCAGGTGTTGGATAGCCAGTATCAGCTCGGCAATGTAGAACTTTGCGCGCCTCTCGTCGAACCGGCCTTCCTTCTGCAAATGCCAGAACAGTTCGCCCCCGGACATGTAATCGGTCACCAGATAGAGCTCCGACGGAGTCTGGAATGAGAATTTGAGGCCGACAATGAAGGGCGAGTCCGAAGTGGCCGTCCGTACAAGAATGTTGCGTTCTCCAACCGTGTGGGCAACCTCCTTTTTCTGCACAATCACCTTTTTCTGCAAGACTTTCATGGCGTAAATGCGCTGTGTGTCCTTTTTCCGAACTTGATAGACCTGCCCAAAGGTACCTTTGCCGATGAGCTTGAGAATTTCAAAGTCACTTGGACCAAAATGCTTCTTTTCCGATCTCTGATAAATGGCTTCGACGTATATCTCGCCCGTCGGTGCGTTTTCGGCGTCCGTGTCTGCATGGCCGCGCAAGGGGAACCATCCCTTGACAGCACCGTCGGCATCCCTTCCAGCTTGGAAATCAACGTGACCGAGGAATTCCTCGCCAGCAGCGGAATGATCGTAAACCGAGATGTCGACCAACATGTCGACGTCGACAACATCACTTTGGCAAAAATCAAAGAGTTAGCATGTCCAGTAGATTTTCGCACTCGTGTCACTTTTTTGAACATACAAGACGGCCTGGGCATCCCATTTCGGATTCGTCAAGGCTGACCGAACGGTGCGACTTCGAAAGGTAGTGTAATCATGAATGCTGGTATTGCTACTTTGGCGGCTTCTCATCGGAATGACCATGGGAGGACGGCCCGAATCGCTGCCTTGTCGTTGAATTGGAATCCCTCCCAGCCCCGACGGAGTAATGCTCAATGCTTCCTCGTCTTCTTCAATCGGTCGTGGCCCACCAGAAATCAGCTCGCTCCGCTGGAACACAGCAACGACATAGGCATCGCGACACTTGCGCAAGCCGCGAGCTTCGGCAATCTTGATGGTCAGTTTGCCTTTGGGGGCAGGAGGTTGAACGCCGGCTGTTCTTGGGGTCTGGGTCCCGCCGGTCGTGTCTGTCCCATCGTTGCTGCTTGTACCCGGTGTTTCTCTGCCCTCTGACTGCGAAGAATGAGCGGCAGACAAGGCTCTCGTGGGAGTCGGCGGACCGCTCTTGAAGATGACACCACGGGTTAGCTCTTTGAGTCCCTCGAGCGAGAACCACTTGCTTGGGGCAGAGATGGTATAGGAGTTATGCCTGGAAGATTGGGGGTGTAAAGATGAGGATGGGTTGGGCGGTGATGGACACGGCGCAGTATGTGACACTGGCTCGGCTTCAGCCAGCTTTTCGAGAGCAGAGGCCTGGCAGACGGCCACGGGGCGGTTCTCATGAACCGGATTGGCACCGGAGGTCGGGTCCGAGTTGGCCTGGTCTCTGCCTTCAAGGGACAAGCCTTTGCACGAAGAAGACTCCGAGTGGGATGGTTGTGACGAGGGGGGTGTTGGGTATGAACTGGAGGCCATTTGCGTCGACGAGACGGCATCCGATGCAACGGGGAGCTTGTCCGCCCTTCCAGGCATTCGACTATCCGACGTGGTTCGGCCGCAGTGTAGACTGTCCTGTATGGCAGGACTCTGTGGCCGCGGTCTCGAGGACGGCGAAGCGCTCGGGGCCGGCAGATCTGACTGGTGGTGCGCAACGGCGCCGGCAGACGGTGGTGTAATGACGGAAAGGCAACGAGAAGGGTCGGCTGCAGAAGGGTCTTGACCAACCTGGCTGAAGTAGCTCAAAATTCCTGGCAGACGTTTGTCGTGAAGATCAGGTTGGGGGGTGGCTACACCAGACCGCGGTGTGTCAATACCGATGTGATCGGCTCCGTCTTCGTCGGCGGCGGTCCTGGCCGATAATGAGTCAACACCTCGCATTGTCGTCGCTCCACGTATCGGATACCAGTGGGGACTCATGGGGAAGTTCAAGCCGGTCGAAAAGCAGGAGGAGACCAGGGGAATAATGGACGGAGTGCAGGGCCGAGACGGAAAGCAGAAGCTCGCCTCTGTGTGTGCCTCTGTGTGTGCGTGTGTGTGTGCGTGTGAATGTGCGCGTGTGTGTGCAGGCGTATATGCAGAAAATTTGATGGGAAAGCCACTAGTACATGACAGTTGCCAAGAAGAGTTGCCTCAAGGAGGGGCGCAAAGTGCAGAGTGTGAGGCCACAGTTGAAGGTTGCGCCTTGGGTACCAGGTACCTGCGTAGTGCTGGGTTCTGCCGGGCACTGCCAGGTACTTCCAGGTACTGACCAGCCTAGGCTGAAGCAGCGAGAGAGGCTGAGTGAGGGAGGGAGGCCTGCAGTGGAGCCTCTCAACCTACTTACGGCCGCAGCGATTGGCAACTGCTGGGGCGTGGGGCGGGCGGCAGGAAGAAGGGGGAAGAGGAAAAAGGAAGAAAAGAAAAAGGAACAAAAAAAGGAACAAAAAAATAACAAGGGATAAATAAAACAAGGAAGAACAAAAAAAATATAAAAAAATAAACAACAACGGCCAGGTCAAAGTCCAGTCCAAACCAAGTCAAAGCCAGGCCGGCCGACGTGCAAGGCTGTGTGGAAGCAGTTCCCTCCGAAGCGAGTTCATACCGACTCGCGCCGCCGGCACTATTCGGGCAAACCGTCGATGGCTGAGCCGGGCGCGGACGGAGCACGACGTCCCGCCTGCGTGAGTGATGCTGCCTGCGCCCACTTGAGCCATCCTGAGCCCGCGCCCAGCTGTCGTCAGGTAGCACCGTAGCACGACGAGTCAGACGGGTCATACGGGTCAGACAGTAGCATGGACGGTAGCAGTAGCCGCCGAGGCCGCTGTGACGCCCACACTTGGGGACCACACTTGCGCTGAAGAAAAGAGAAAAAGGAAAGAAAGAAAAAGCTGCGACGGCGTCATTGTCCCTCGCACGCGCAAAGTCACGAGACCCGTAGGACACGCAGGACATGGCATGCAAAGAACCAGAGAACCAATTCCAACACAACACACGTGGACGGTGGCGACCGGTCTGCATCAGGCTGGCGAGCGACGCCATTGCCAATAGAGCACTTGGTTGTCTTGGTTGTCTTGTGAGAGCGTTGGACGGGGCTGTGCGAAGTGCGAGGACAGACATTCCAGAAGCCACAGCATACAGCATATGGGCCATGGCTAATGGGAGCCCCATGGCCCAGACCCGAACTCCCGGGCCGATGGCTGGTTTGACACGCATCCATCCATCCCATCCCCTCTCTCAGACCAGGAGGCAACGTCTCTCGATGGCAACGACGGCACGCTGGTCAAGGCTGGCGACTTGACTCGAAAGGACTCACGCCAACCGTGGTTGGACAAGGAAACAGTCGTACGTACTTTGACATCATGGCCTGGGTGGCCCGTCGCAGCAGGTCGAAGCCACCGGAGCTGCCATGCCCATGCCCATGCCCGTGCCCGTGCCCGGCGTGGCCACCTCCATGGGCGTGCGAGTGTGCGTGACTGTGGGCGCTTTCGGGGCCCGACATGACGGTCGTGTTGAGAGAGCAGCTGCGCGGATGCGACTGCGGAGCCAACCGCGGAGGAAACAAAGCAAGACAGCGAGCTCTGAGGACCAAGAACAGGATCTGCAAGCCGTCAAAGGCGTCACGGGCGCCACAAAGGGCAAGGTCGTCGGCCGGACAGGTAGGACGGAGATGGAAACAATGCTCGAGCAGCACAGCACGGGTTTGGACCCGATGTCGTGTTTGGCGTTGCAGAAAGAAGCGATGTAGGTGCGGCGGCGAAGGGGTGCTTTGGAAAAAGATAGGATAGGAGTGTGCTCAAGCAAGACAGACACCCAAGACTCCAGCAGCGCGGCTGTCTGTATGACGGAGTGCCGGGAAAGGGTCAACCGTCGGCATCAGGCGCGCTGAGACTGGCCGCTCAACCGCCGCTCAACCGCCGCACCATCCCACCACCCCACCCTTTCCTGCAATTCCTGCCGCCAAGCACGTGCACGTGCGCGCTGCCCGGACCTTCCTTCCTAGGAATAGGAATCCTTTTCTCAATGTTTCGCTCGCTCGAGCCAACGTTATTCCAAATGTGCTGGAAGCAACAAGCCATTGGAAGGAACCTGCGCTGACACCAGGCAATGGGCCTGGAGTTGGGAGCGCCGACACAAGCAGAGCCACCGTTTCCTAGCCTCGAGGCCCATCATCCAAACTCGGCTTTACTCCCGATTCCCAACGAGTTATACGGCTGGCTGTCCATACTGTGACATTGCTGTCCATGTCTCACCTGCATCAACGCCCCGAATCCCACCCATCAACTGTACATGCCTTGTTTCATGCGCCGTCGACGTCGGCCACTTTGGGATATCTGACCTGATGACATGATCTACATATTTTGTACATCTATACATCCGCATTCACCAGAAAAACCAGAAAACTCGTCAACACCGTCTTGGCAACGTTTCCTTCCGCATTCCGCAATCCAAGTCGTCCATCAACCCCCGCCTTTTTGTAGCAATCCAAAGCCCACGTTGGAGCACGCCACGGGCTGCATGTAGCCTGTAGGCGGTGCTGGAGATATCGCATATACACAAGGGTAGTGAGTGGCACTGTCGTCACCAACTTCGCATCGACACCACGCCACCGCATCACGCGCAGGAATTGCCTGCGGAAGCAAAACCCCATCGACCAATCTGTCGCACTTCCCGGGAATGTGTTCCTTCACAACTCCCTCGAAGGGCAACAATCGGCATCGCTTCCTGCTGTGGCGTGAGGGTGGCTGGCGCAACGGCGTCCCGTTCGATTTCAATCATACCTTCGACCTTCCCAGCGCCATTCTCACACAACTACATGTCAGAAGACGCGGTTCGTCTTCAAGGGTGTATAACAAGGCCAGAATCGAACAGGCATGCAAGCAACAATGATTAGTGCTAGATAAGGGGACGGTACCACGTGTTCTTAGGCCGTGTGGCTCAATGGCAGAGCGTCTGACTACGACTAGAGTCAAGTATTGATTTTAGAGTTATCGCAATCAGAAGGTCGCAGGTTCGACCCCTGTCTCGGTCATGCGAAGTTCTGTTACTAGGAACACAGATGCATTTTTTTTTCTAGTTCATAGAAATTATTGTTACTAAAATTATCACTCCTACCACAGGTTAATGTTAGCGGCCACGCACGGCGCTAGTAGCGCTACGAAGCAGCAACGTTAATTATTTTTAGGAAAACTTTTTAGTAGAGCCTACTTAGTATATTCACCACACGCTAGAACTTAGAAAGTTAAAAAATTAAAAAAGACGATCTTTCAGCCTCGTGCATAACGTCAAGCGAGGGAGTTCGAAACGAGAAAAAACACGATTGACCGAGACAGGGGTCGAACCTGCGACCTTCTGATTTACTTTCGTTAGTGCTAGCCGCATTAGCAGCTTTAGCCTAATCGTAGTCAGACGCTCTGCCATTGAGCCACACGGCCTCTTGGGGTGTGATTCGGAGTTTGCTATTTAGAGATATTGACTATTCAGCCGTGCCGTGCGAGATTTGCGCTCCCGAACGTCGAATTCACGCGGGTATATGCCACTGCTTCGAAAACGTGAGAGTCATCTGTAAGAACCAGACTTCACCGTGCAACAACCTCCCTTCGTGAACAAATGCTTTTGAATCAGTACCCTTTTTGCTGGTCCCTCTGCGGCCAGCGATCCGCTGTCATGATTGTCGCACAACAGAGTTTCAGAGCTGCAATGTCATCAAAGTCGCCTCGCCCGAGTTCGACAGATATGATCAAACGCCTGGGAAGATTACGACAAGTACGTACAAAGAAATAGTAGACGAACAAGTGGCCGATTAACCAGAGCAGAGGATCGCACGGCATATCCGTGAGCCCGCCTATAGAAACTCTGGCTGCAGGATGCCCACCACTGAGCAATCGCAGCAAGATACAGAAGTTCGGCTTCCTGGAGAAGGGAGCAGAGAGGTCGCATATTTCTAGTTTTCCGAGGTTCGTAACGGTCTGCATCATTCCCCCAGTCGATTTCAGCGTCTCTACCTACGAGCCTCTTTCATCGCCGCAATCTTGTTAAGCCATTCCTTCTCCATCTGAGATGTTACTCCCGGTCGATAGAGGCGAGGATCGACGCCTTGTCGAGGAAGAAGAGGATCATGGTACTTTTCTATGCAGAAGGTGCATTAGCAAAGAAGAGTGAGGTGTGAGGAGAGCCGAGGAACGGGCGAGGTCGTTAGAAATTCGTCTGGCGTGCTTTGTGCTTGCTGCTCTCAAATCGACCAAACTGGGAAAAGACGAAAATCAACCCCCCCCCGCCCCAAAAGTGTAGCGACAGGCATGACTTACTGGGGTTGAAAGACTGGTCGGCCATCTTTGCCAGCACTTTATCCTGCTCTTCCTTCAATCTTCTAGAGTTGTTCCCAGCAGGGGCCACCAGCTCGGCCGTCTCGGAAAGTGGTTGTGAGGAGAATAGAGCGCCAGCCATGATGATGTGTGGAAATGGCTTGCTCTGTGTAGACTCCCACAAGAAAGAGAGCTCCTGTGTTCAGTCCTGACGGTAAAGGACAAGGCTGAAGTAAGGTTCTGTGGAATCCGTGCGAGTCTTGTCCCTGCCCGCTGTACAGTTCGTTTGGGAAGCCTTTAGAGTGTCATGTCATGTATGGCTAATGCCACGGCAACGAGGCTTAGGTTCTTGACCGCCGTGATGCACGTCCCGGGTTTTCCCGAAACATTCACCCAATTGAAGTTTGGTGACGTATAGTGCATCATCAACTTGAATTAACTGTTTGCTTTGGTACTACCCTATAATCCAAGTAGGTAGAAAAAGTTATATCTTAATCGGACATAACGTAGAAACATGGTAAAGATGGCGTAAATATACTAGTTCATCTTGCTGTGAAATCTTAATCAGCTAATGTTGTTACTAGGCACATACGGGTTGGCACGCCCGATGTTGACCCGACCTTCCTGGGCCGCTTAAGTATCCTGGATACTAAGCATCGACATTTTATTTTTCTGCACCGTGCCCAACGCATCAGCGTCTCATATACCATCTAGCATCTGGTTCCAAGGCTTCTTTTTCAAATTCACTGCTTGCCCCCGTCCCCCACGATTCAACCCCATCCAGCAAGGAGACAGTTGACCTCAGTACGCATTCGTCAAAGCCTTTCCTGCCTAATAGTCGATGCGCTCAGTAGCGTCGACACAATAAATAGCTCATTCCGAGATGAAGAAATTCGCAGTTCCGGATGCTTGGGATGACGATTGGGAGTCGCAAGCGGACGGTGCAACGAAGACGGAGGAGGATGACGAGACGGAACAGGGCGGGGGAGCATCATTGCAGCCCGCACCGTCACTGACAAAGGCAGAGCGCATCATGAAGCACGCCGAGGCAAACCGGAAAATCTGGGAGTCTGCGTAAGAAGCTTAGCCGATCCCTTTGATTCGCTTCCCGTCCAGAAACCTCTCTTCCGTCTGACTCTTCCTTTGCTGACGAGAGGGACAACATTGAACACATTGCGACAATCGCTTTTAGAGACGCAGCGCCGCAGACCTTTCACTATCTGGAAGCCAACAGCACAGTTCCCCTGACGTCCTCTTTCAAACCCCAAGTCAAGGTGCTTTCACGAAAACCAGTCATTGCCAAACGCGGTCTCGCGTCGGGCGGCATGACCCAACTGTCTGCGGAAGACGACGATGATGCAGAAAATAAAAAGGAACGACAGCTCACGGCAGAGGAGATCCGAGCAAAGCAGAAACGGGACCTGGAAGAGAGGCAACGTCGATATGATGAAGCACGAGCCAAGATCTTTGGAGAATCAAATCCTTCGTCTCGAGGTTCATCGCCCGGAACTGTTACGCCGCCAAGGTCGGATGGGCGGCACCTGGGCCGAGGCCGCGGAAGGGGAGGCGGAAGAGCAAGCAATACGAATCACCATGATGCAAGAGGTCCGTCGGACATGAGGCGGGCAAATAATCAGCCTTTGACTGGCAGGGAGCTGTATGATCCCAATTTCTCGCCAAAAGTCGACTCACCAGCACAGCGTAGAGGCGGCGAGGGCGACGGACCCGTGCGCGGGACTTCAACTGGCCATGATCAACATCAGGGCCACGTGCAATATCAATCACAGACGCTGCCGCCTCAGCAGCAGCAGGCCATACGGTCCCCGAGAGGCCCCGACGGCAGCGGACGCGGCGGCTTCGGATTCGCACGTCGTGGCAACAAGGACAGCTGATCGTCTGTCGTCTCTCTGCGCTTCTCAATTAGAAAAGGGTATAAACACATGTCTACACGATGCTCCTCTGATTGACCAGACACGATTTGAGAATGTCATGCTCTTAAATTGTTTGACCTTCCCTCCAGAAAAGCTGCGCCGAGAGCTGTGCTACCAGCCGCCACCCGCTTTCCCAGCTAGCTGAACTACCTTTTCGGCTTCGGTTCCTTTTCCGACGTCGCTTATGACCTCGCGATACGTCGTGAATGCCAGTCTATCGATACTTATGCCCGTGATCTCACACCAGTACGCCAGAACATCATGTATATACGAGCGAGAGATGCCACCAATCACCTGGCCGCTCTCAGCATCATGGCCGTCGACAGGGCCATGCTGGATTGTGCGATCCGAATCTTCACACGAGAAATATGCCTCGTCAACCTCGGCCAGCCAGTCCTTCTGGTCTTGGGGACCAGGTTGGCCCTTGAACTTCCTCCGGTCCAGGACGACTGCATCGTCGACTTTGACCTGGCCGCCACCGTTGGTACAACCACCCGGACACGCCATGACCTCGACATAGCCGTACTCCAACGCGGCCGGCTTGCCTGCTGGCCGCCGAGCGCTGCCGAACGGTTTCCCGCCGGGCATTCGGGACGGCCGAGCAGGCTTCAGCTTGCGCACCAAGTTCTGAATGTTTCTGAAGCCATAATACCGGGCTGCCCTGAACACGGGCGAACCATGGACAGTCACGACAAACTCGACGACGTCTGCGTTGCGGCCACGGATCGTCTGAATCTCGGCACCAGGTATCTGCGCAGCTTTGCACTGTAGGATGTGATAGAGGAGTCCGCCCGAGGAACCGGCAGTACGGGGGACTGGTTTGCGTGCCCGCGATTGGAATAAAAAGTCATGTACTGTCTTGCTCGGAAAGGGCTGCACTGGTGGCAGCGAGGCAGCCGCCGTAGCATCGCGAGAAAGATCAAAAAAGTTGAGCCCTCTTGATTCGGCGAGCATCAAGACCTCCTTGCTTGTGATGACACAGTCGACGTCGCGAACACCCCGGCCAGGTCGGCCGGAGCCAGCCCAGACCTCGTCGGTAAGTTCCTCGCGACTGGCCTCGAGTTTCTTGTCGAAACAGGGCATGACGGAGAGGTGCCATATCCTGTGAGGGGGGATGCCCAGTTTCCGACTCAGTGTGGTTTTCAGCATCGTCCCCATCAAAGCCTGCGGGGACTTTACTTTGGACAAGTGTTGCAACACATGAGGATGCGTCTTCTCGGCGTAGCAGACCCATCCCGGACACGCCGACGACAGGATCGGCCGCGGCGCAGATCCAGCAGCCTCGGTCCCGGTCCCGGTCCCGGCGAGCACCTCATCCGCACCCAGCACCAGAACTGCCTCTCTCGCGACATTCGTGTCCACGACCCACGTGAAGCTATTCTTGTGCTTCCCACCAGCAGCCAGCCCCTGGGGCCCTCGCAACAGACTCTCGATCATCAGCCCGGCCTGCCGCTCTGACACTCGACCACCACAGGCAGCGGCCAGGTTGGCTCTCGTCTGCGGACAGACGCTCGCCACAAACAATCTCGCATCCTCATCCTTCAGCCCTTGCACGGTCCACCTCCCGGCATTGCCAACGCCTGCAACCTCTGCCCGCAGCCCCAGCGCAGGCGCACCGTCCAGCGCAGCCAAGACCTCGGCATGGCTCTGCAAGCTCACGAGCACGGCCTCGGCAGAGGTGACGCACCCGGAGCACGCCAGACAGTCCGTCAGGGAGATCTGGGCGGCCTCTGCGCCCGTCGCGGCCGCGGCAGGCTGTGTTCCGTCGAGAATGACTTCCGGCTCGGTGTTGCTGCGCGGCGCGTTTGGCGCAGCGGCGGGGAGAGTTTCGACCGGCTTGATGCATGCTACGCTGGGGGAGATGAAGTCGTTTAGGTCGTCAACGGAGAGGATCGCACTCATGGTGATTTGTAGGGGGTTTGGATGGTAAAGAGACAATCTGGCTGGCGGCTATCTTTATGGGACGGTGGCGAGTGACTTTGAGGAGTGGGTTGACGAAGGTGAAGGGTAAAACGGACCGGGGGCGGTTTCGGCCGATTTTCGAAGAACGTAGTTTTTCAGATAATAGAGGCGTGATTCAAACAATGTATTCAACATGATATGAGGATTGATGTTGGAGCGTTGGGCGAAGCTGGCGCATTCCGACAAGGTCGAGGATTAGAAATCGAAAATGGCAAACCGGCAAATGGCAAATGGCCA